AAAGATGGGTGACCAGCCAGTTGTCCTGACAACATTGCCCTAGACTGTCTCCTTAGATCTTTGGGGCCATGAGGCAGGCTGGTGCAGCTCTTAGGAAGAACACTTGGGACCTTGCATGGGGAAGAGTTATCTTCAGAAAAGATGCTGCTTATATGTTTCTGTCAGTATTATTACCACTTGAGACAGTATCTATTTTCCTTATTTATCTGTGTACACTCTCTCTCCTACCTATGCTCCAAACAGCAGGCACTCGGTGAATAGTCATTGAATGAATTAGGCAATACATCCATTTTTAAATCTATCTTACTTGAATAATAAAAGTTTTATATGGTCAAGAATTTTTACCAGTTAAATTGATTCCACTCTCCCTTATTAATTATATTTTTAATTTATTTTAACTGTTTTGTTATATTTTAGTCTCTAGAAAATTGATTCATTATTGCCTTTAATTCTTAAACCTGTGAACACATGGTCATAAATTGTAGATAGGATAGGAAGATCAATACATAAGAATGTAGTCATGTGGTTAAGTGAAATTTCTTAGTGGATGTTGCTAGTGTTTTATGAGAATGTCTTCATGTAATGTTTTACTCTGCAGACCGAAACTGGAACCAAATTTGGCTTAAATGATAAACTGCTTCTATAAAATGTCTTAACTTTTGCTTGAGTTTGAAGTTTCTTTGAGGCATGTCCAAAGTTATTAGATCTTTTCCTCTGGTTTCTGGAAACTTGGGAGCAGGGGAACCGTAAAGTCTTGTTGGCTATAATTGTTTCTCTTGCCCAAGGTCGCTGGCCTACTGACCTTCTGCTGTTCTATGTTGAACTTGATTCCTGTGCTGTCCCCTCTCCAGCTTTTGTTCCACCCTTCCTCCCCTCGACCTCACATATCGCCACCCCTGTGCAATGGGGTCTTTGTGTCCCATTAAGGAGATGGGCCATATTAGTCTAAAACTTCTCTGACTCCCCAATGTCCACCCTTTTCTGACTTCTGGCAGTAAAATGGGTCGAGATACAGTGGGGGAAGCTGTACTCTATATTGTGTTCCAGTTGACCTTTGAGGAACTTCGGGGACTTGCAAATGCCCCAGACTTACTCATTGAAAGGACTAGATCTAGCACCTCCTTTTTTCCCTGCCTCTGAGCCATCCTAGGCACCCAGGTCTGAGGAAAGAAAGTTAATTGCTTTTGGGCAGGGTGCATTTTGGTTAATGTTCTGTTTAAAATTTGATGTCACATTTGATGGCTTACTCGGATAATTTTGCTCTCATGATACTGTAGTAATGAACTATTGTTTCACTATTTTACAGAGTGCTTATGATTTCACGTATTTTTGCTGAACTTTTAAAAGAGGCACTTGGATGATGGATTAACAAGAACATTGAAATTCTGTGCACAGTTTCAAATTGGAGCATATTGAATTTTCACCCTAGTTCAGCAGCTCTGCTGCTCACTTAAATACAGATGAATGAAGACCCCATTCGGGAAGACACCTGGCCAGCGGTCCAGAGCTGATGCAGGTAGGCAGTGCAGTTCTCTGCGTACCTTAGTGCAATAAACTGAAAACAGTTGTAAAATTGAGGATACTTTCATGGAAATTCCTAGTGGTTTGCTCTTAAAGCTTTGTGATTTCCAGTATTTCATACACATACATACATGTGAAAATGCAGGTTTAGCTTTTTGAGGGTCTGGGGTCATATTAATTTTTTTTACTCTGGTCTCTCACCTTCTACCAAGTTATAGGTGCCCAGTAAATTTAGCAAGTGAATTGTAAATACCTAGCTAATAGGATTATAGTAAATAAAGCATTTATTTATTTTTTTTGAAAGAAAAAGTGAAAGGGACCTAGACGGATATTAAATTTAGTAAGTTAGGATATTAATAGCAATTTTAAGGAAAAAAGATAAACTTGGATTTTTTTTTATATTGATTTGAAAGAATTTTATTGGAATGAAATGTATGGAAATGAATATTTAATAGAAATTATTTTCGTGGCACACAGCTAATATAACTAGAAGTTTAGACTTTATATGATTTTTATCCACCCCAAAACAAAGATAAATCTTACAGGCTACACTGTAAAGTAGGTAAGTGATATTTTCTTTAGGACTTAGGTTCTTCTCCATTTAAGAAGTACATTTCAGTGTTGAAAAAGTTTTGTCACATTTTAAGATTCTTTGATAAATGCAGAATTATTATTAATCTTATAGAAATGGTTGCTATGTGATTTAGAACCATTTCTTATATTTATTAACTATGGCATTTGGAATTCCTTTGTAGAAGAGCTACCGGAATTCAAATCTTACCCCATATCAAATCTTTACCCCATATTTTGATTTTAGTTCCTCTTTTTTAATAATATTGATGTAACTATTGAGTATTTGTTGATAAGATTAACTTGCAATAATGGTGACAGACTGAAGCGTAAGTCATCTGAGAGTTTGTTGTTCAAATCCCAGCTCTCATCAGCTCTAACTACTCTCATTGGTTGTATAAACAGTGCGTTTTGTATCTTCACGAGCCTTGGTTTTTCTCATCTAAATGGGACTTATAAGATATGTACTTGTTGGATTATCATGAGAAATAAATGAGCTGTGTGTGTCAGGTGCATAGCTAGGTGCCTGGCACATTGTACTACTCATGATATTTTTTATTCCATGTTACTGGTTGAAAAATCGCTGTCGTTTTTGTTGATCACTGAAACCTCCCATGTTTCTGTCTCTTGAAATAGTAATTCATTTTCCAAAGTTCTTTTTATGCACACCACTCCAATTTCAACACTCCTGTTTTCTTCATTGATTTTGAAGTCATCCTCTTAGGAGGAGAGTCAGCTGATTAAAGTGTAGTATGGTATAAGTAACTGAATGAGCTAAATCAAGAGATATTACTATTTTTAAGAGAGAGAGAGATTATTAATTCTATCCAGTACTTTGATTTTGTATTTTCTTACTCTTTGTTATTTCTTAGAGCATGTGGCATAGGGCTAAAGACAAAGTAGGTACTCTTTAAATTCTAGTGGGCCTGTTGTTAGACTGTGAGGTCATAATCCTTTTTCGTGGTTATGTGATAGATCCTATTTAGAAAGATCGACTCTTCATCAGTATTGTTTATAAAATTGTCTTAATTCTTCATCCTGTTGACATAGACAAAGGCTCTGTTGCTTTTAAATCCCTATGTCAGTAATGAATGTGCCTATTTCCAAAAAAAAAAAAAAAAAAAATCACCAAAAGGGGTATTTTTTTTCTTATGAAACAAGAAGCCCAGGTAGGCATTCCAAAGTTGGTATGGTGGCTCAGCTCTGCCATTAGGCTAGTGCCATCTTAAAGGTTAAAGCTGGAGCTTCAACTGGTCCATCTCCTACGCATTTCTTTCTAGGTGGGCCTTGTGGGTGACTGAGCTTCTTACACAGAGGCTTCCAGAGGGAGTTTCCCAAGAGAACCAGGCACAGCTGTATGATCTCTTCTGTCAGAGCCTTAGAAGTCTTACAGGTTCACTTCTGCTGTATTCTGCTCTTTGAGGCAGTCACAGTGCCCGCCCAGGTTTAAGGAAGGGAGAGTATGCCATGCTGAATGGAAGGAGTGTCAAAGAATTTAAAACTGCCACCTTGGGAATAGATTGGGTAGGCAGGTCCTAGTATCTGACACTGTTTGACATGTTGTGCGAGTGATTAATAAAAATTTAAAAATTAATTTTTACATCCTTTTGATGTGTCTAGTTCAACATATTAGGGATTTCTATTTTAAAAATGTGTTTATATAATTTGTTAGAATTTAATTGGTTACTAAAGTAATAGTTTGTATGTACTTAATGACATTGGTCAGCAAGTCCTATTATTATAGTATAACTTCTATTTTTTCCCTAGAGTTAGCTTCCATTTTTCCTACTTTACCAAAGGCTTCAGTTTTTTTTTTCTTCCTTTTATAAATACTTTAATCAGACTGATAGGTACGGGGAATGGTAATAATAGATAACCATGAACCTAACACTAAGATATAACAACTATTTAATTCAGATATTTTAAAGCCTTGATTTTATTTTTATCAAATTAATAAAAACTCACAGTTGAAAATGTCAAGTAGTGCCAAAGACATGGTAAAAGTCGTGGGCACTCCATTCATTGATTTTTTTGTTTGTTTTTTTTAACCTTCAAAATTTATAAATAGTGTTAGTACATAGCTTTCTCTTTTGGAAAATTTTTAGATATTATGTGTTGATATATGTTGAGGATTTTGGCTTTTTTTACATAACTTCTCCCTCTCTCCATTAGCTTCCTAATAAAGATTTTGGCTAAAATTATATTTATTGTTTCTATTATAATTACTATACAAATACTAAATACTTTTGAACCAAGTAATACAATATAATTACTTTTTTTCGTGCACTTTATTTAGCGATTGCTTTATTTTTTTTATACTTACTTAAATTTCTTTGCAACTTGAAGTCTCTTAAATCCTCCAACAGCTTTATAAAACTCCTTTCAGTGTAATTTCCTGCACATCAAATGTGATAGAAAATCCATCTGTCTGATTTCTTAAGAGTTTTTCTAGTGCCTTCTGTCCTTTTCTGATCTGTGTGGATTGCTTTCTCCACCTGCTGCAACATCATCAACCTGGAATTCCTTTTTCTTGCATATTGAATTCTCCTTGTTTCCTGAATGCTAGGCCTTTCCTTTTTTGGTATGGACTCTTGTACATCTTCAAAATCTTCAAGAGTAGGCAGTGAATGAGTTGATTGTTAAAGCTGCGAGTAGAACACATGCCAGTTCATTCATATTGTTTACTTTTCTGCATGTTGAAAATTGTCTCTAATAGTTTTTCAGAAATGCACATAAAAGGTGAGGTTTTTATTGAGACTTTGTGTTCACATTGTCTTTATATTACTTTCATGCTCAGTCTTGGTGAGATAAAAGATTCTAGGTTGGAAATTACTTTTCATTTAGAATTTTCCAGGCTCCATTTATTGTCTTTCAGATCCCACTGTTGCTATTTGGGGAAGTTGGATGCCATTTTCATTTTTGAACCTTTGTCCAGTGGTTTTTCCCTCTTTAGAAACTTGGAATAGTGTTTTTAAGTGTTCTGAAACTTTATGACAGCATATGTTAGTGTAGATCTTTTTCATTTATTGTTTTGGGCTTTTCAGTCCTTAGATTTATCATTTATATGAAATTCTTTGTTACTCCTTTGATTGTCTTTCATTTGCTCTCTTCTCTCTGGAATACATGGTGCTTGGATTGTTATGCCTCTTAGGTCAATTGTTTTTTTTAACTTCAATTCATTTCCATTTTTCTAGTCACTGAGGGAGTTTACTGACTTTATTTTCCAATCTTTTAAAAAAAATTTTAACAAACATTTTAAATTTCTAGGAACTTTTTTTGTTGTTTATTTCATGGATGCAAGTAGCCTGTGCTTTTGAGGCTATAAGCTGTATTTTCAAAAACTCTTTCTTGAATTAGCTGGTCTTATGTGTGTCTTTTTTTCTCTTTGCTTTTAGTCTCTGTGTTTCATCTGGAGGTTTTCGTTAAATTTCTTGTGATCTGAGGTAGATCTCCTACCTAGCAAGGCACAGAAAATTTGATTGGAAGCTCTGTGTGTGAAAGTGGGCCTTGTTGTCTGGTGGACTTCATTTATATTATTGGGACCTCTAGGTGTCAGTATTTGGCTGTTTTTTCTAGAGATCAGATTTCAGATTTGGTGAGAATATGCATCATCTTTCAGATTTCTTGATTTCTCCCTTAAATTTATAAAGTCATACTCCTTTACCTTCTGTTAAAGTGGCATCCCCAGAGACCACTGCTGTTCATTTAAAGCTGGGCTTATTAAATTTGCTGAGTGTCACCTTGACAAGTTTTTCAGGGAAATTTCACAACAGGAAAAGGTGCTCATAGGGGAGGAATGAGTGAATTGATAGAGTTGGAGGCAGTTAGTGTGGTGTGGAGGGGCATTGGTGAGTATTTCTAATCCAGATGAGTTGTTGGAACAGACCTTTGTCTTTATCTTTGGAACATCTGAATACACACCAAGTTAAAAGTTGGTTATTTTGGAACATGTCTAAATGAGCTTCTGTTAGAACAGTTAAGACTATGTAGTTTTTCTTGCCCATCATGGTTTAGGTTAGCTTAAATAACTTTTGTGAGTCATAGAACAGTTTATTTTGTAAATACGCTCTATTTCTTTTTTCACTTCAGTCAACAAATAGATGTAGCTACCTAGTAAAGAATCTTGTTCTCTTTTCCACTGGAAAATCTGTGATGTTCAGATGAGTGATATAACCCACTTTTGATGACAGACTGACATCAGTGCCCAGTGAATATACACACATGTACCTACTCTTCTGTTACTTGCGTTTTCAACTTAATGGTGTGTGTTGGTGACCACTCCTTAGTAATATACAGAGATCTTTCTCATGGCTCTTTACAGCTGCATAGGATGCCATTGTGTGGATATACCATATTAGTTCAGTAGTCAATTATTTGGACATTTGGATTTTTTCGACTTTTCTACTATTAGAAATAATAGCTACA